AAACTCCGCATTGGCGACAGGAAGGGCATTTGGCCAGTAAACACTCAGCTCCCCTCAGTTGCCCAGACTTTACCCCGCAAGGGATTATGTGGTTATTAAAAGAAGATGATTCTTAGGTAAACATGTTTTTTCCTCTACCTTGGTGTCTACCTGCAACCACCAAGCCCTACTTGACATGCTGCTAATTTTTAATGTCTAGTTAAAGGGGGAGGGTGCATTTCTTAAGGCTGGTTATTCTCTAATGGCTACCCCCTCCAGTGTCTTCATTCTGGACAGGGAGGATAACAAACTAGCATTGCAGGCCAGAGAGGCAACTACCAGCCCTAGGAATAAATTCAGAGATCCTGCTGAGGACTGGGACCTCACAACATGCCAGCATCTTATCTCATTTTGAACAGTTTTTTTTACAAAGCGGGGATCCTTATGGGCACCAAGGGGACACCCATAGGTACTGTTTCTGCTGGAGGGGGGGAAACACAGGTGTGCAGCATTGTGAGTTTAACCTGATTGTCTTCTGTAGACGTTGGCTAAACTGACTAGGTAGGACCACATCAGCAGGAACGAGGAACCTATTCTTGGCCAGTCTTGGCTCGCCTAAAATTTTCTCCCAACAGGAAGGTTGCAAATATGGAGGTTGAGTGGGCACAGCCTAGCAGTGCATTTCCTGCTGTGTAATGGCATAAAAACCACCTGGTTTATGGTCCAAGCAGGCCTTGCTGATTGCAAATACAGTTTTGAGACCAAACTTCTTTTATTAAAGAGGAACAGGCTTTCACTGCCTGTAATAGCAACCCAGGTGCCTTAGTTGAATAGCCGTTGGGATTCTGGTTGTAGGTTGAAAAAACAGGAACAGCACATCTGAATTGAACTGAGACAGAAGAAAGCAAGTCCGATTTACTTCTAATTCATCTTGCCTTCGAGAAAATGGATAAATATATGTGTCCTGTGTTTTAATATCACATGCAACTGGATCCCAGCCTGGCTTGGCTTGGCCCTTTACGTTACGCCTCAACCTGATGTCATTTCAGCTGTGAATCTCTTAATCCACAAAATAACACTTTACCAAGTTAGGGTTTTAGCTGAAGTTTGTGTTCCTAATGCATGTTCTGCATCTTGAGTTACTTGAAATTATTGGTGAACCAGCAGGATATAAATTATTTAGAAAACAAAAACAGGACACAAAGCCTAAGCTTGTGGAAATTGGTTGTGTCTCAACTAATAAGAGAGTGTTCAGGGGGGGAGTTCAATTAGAGAAGCAGAGATGAAACATTGCACCCTTCTCAAATTTTTCTCCCCATTTACAGTGAATTCTGTTTTAAGGAGGGGATTAAAACTATTGTCTCTATCCCTCCCCCACCTCCCCAATGGTTATTGTCCAGTCATAAATTGATCTTAACACTCAGAAATGGGGTAGAATTCCAGGTGAACTGGATATGTTTTTAAAGATGGGACTAAAAAAACTTGAGTTAAAAAAACACCCTATCTCTTCGTAACTAGATAGGAAAGGTTAATGTTTGTATCCTGAAAATGGGACTTTTCCATTTTTCAACCATTAGAGACGGCAAGCTCTTGATATTTTGTGAAGTGACCCACAGTTCTGTCAGTTAAAAACAATATTACTCAAAGAGAGATGGCGGAATAGAGTTATTTACTTTAACTATCTAAATTACTCCTAGTGGCTCCAGGCAGCTTAAGAGCCAATGAAAACATACCTTCCAATAAAATATAAGCCGGAACAGCAGCATTTAAAAGGCCTTGGGAAATAAATCTCTTTTTGAGCCCCTTCCTAAACTTCAGTAAAATACTTGCTTCCTGTGATTGTAATTTGTTTCAAAATACAAATCCCACCAAGGAGAAAAGTGAATTGGACACTTGATATCCAAGAGATCCACGTATAAATTTGTACAAAATCTATTATATATTTAGGTTTCACCTGTGTAAGGTCATCTCATCCTGTAGGCATCACAAGGACTTTAAGACTCATGGCCCACGGAGACTGCATGTAATGTCTTAATGTTTCCCAACCTTGGCTGCTTGAAGATGGGTGGACTTAAACTCCCATAATTCCCCAAACAGCATAGATGGGAAATTCTGAGTGTTAATATCCACCCCATCAAGTTGCCCCGCGGTTGAGAAGCACAGGTCTAAACTCTTCTGAAGTCAATCCACCGAGACCACAATCTCAACATCACAAATGCCAGGTCTCCACTCCAGATAGAAAGGATACTGCTTTATCCAGAAGTCTTCCCGATGTTGAAGTCTTGCTCTCCACCATCTACTGTATAACTCTCCCTTCTTGATGGCCTTCAATTCTTCTAACGTTTCAATTTGGAGTCTCCAGTTGGAGTCACCAAACTTACTCAGTGGTGATTCAGCTTCCTCCCTCTTGATCAGTTTCCCTTTGGATTCTGGGATTTACTTTTTATTTTTCTTACATCATGGAATTGGAAGTGAATCATTCTTCTCCAGCTAATGGATCCTGCGTATCTCCGTTAAACCATTGCATTCATTGCAGAAGCCAATCATTTTTTTTTCTCTTTTGCTCCTGCATCACAAGAGGAGAAGGAGTGGCTTCTGTGGCAGTTTTCTTTTCACAAATATGAAGACCACACGGGGGTGCTCTCCTTCCAAATTATGCGCTCTCTTGCAGCACAAATACTTTCAGCTAACTTGAGTTCTCCTATGCCACAGCCCCAGGTGGCTGATAATGTCCGACCTTAAATATAGAATGAGACAATAACAGATGGAAGGGACCTTGGAGGTCTTCTAGTCCAACCCTCCTGTTCAAGTGGGAGCCCTTATTCCAGGCTGTCCAGTATCTTGAAAACCTCCAGTGATGGAGCATAACTTCTGAAGGCATCTCACAATTTCTCCTTAATTCTCGGTTCGGTCGTTCTTTGTTAAGCTTACCTTCTCTTTATTCTACATATCAGAAAAAGACATTTCTTTCTCTCCAAATGGGTTTACTAAAAGAATTTTCCTCCCTCTATCCCAAAACTATCCCAAATCAGGGATGCGGTGGCTCAGTGGCTAAGACACTGAGCTTGTCAATTAAAAGGTCGGCAGTTTGGCAGTGAATAAGCTCCCATTACTTGTCCCAGCTTCTGCCAACCTAGCAATTCGAANTGAAACATTCATTAAACATGTAACCCAGAGCCGACCCCCTGCCCCCCACTTCTTAGAACCTTGTCGGAGTCACCCTAGCAAACTAGCAAATTTGACAGTCATCAGTCAAATTCAAAAATGTATCAATAATAATAATAATAATAATAATAATAATAATAATAATTTCCCTCCTTTGTGTAAGTATTTTAAGTCTAAAATAGAGGCGGCCTCAGGGAGGGGAAGAGGGACGGTTGCGGGGAGAAGAGCTCTCCCTTTTCGCGCCAGAACGGCCGAGCGCCACGCGCAGGCGCAACCCCAACGCGAGTGGGTGGGCGGAGCTATCGAAGAAGCCGCGCGCATTCACTCTCTCCGCCGAGAAAGGCGGGGGTGGCTCTGCGCAGCGAGGGCAGAGAAAGAGAAAGAACGACGAGCCCAAGCTTCTGAGGCATTCTCACCGCGCAGGGGCGGCCGCGTGACGTTAAGCCCCTCCCCTCTCGCCGCGGCTACGCCGACACGCTGATTGGCTACTTCCCGGTGCCGCTACGTCACCGGCGTGCGCGCTCCCCCCGCCCTCGGCTGCTGCTGCGGCTGCTTGCTTCTTTCAGGGCGATTTTGAACGAGCGCGCTTCCGCCATCTTCCCTCACAGCCCGCCCGTCCGCTCGCTTTTCCCTTCAGTCACAGCGGCAGCCGCAAGCGGAGAAGGAAGGAAGGCAAAGCAGCGGACGAGAAAAGGTAACCTGCTCGGCGAAGCGAGGGAAGGGGAAAAAAAGGCCGCGGCCGGGCTCGCCCACCTCGCGGGAACAGCTAGGCCGCCTCTCATTTCTTTTCACCCCACCCCCACCTCCACACGGCCAAAAAAAAAAAAGGGCGGGAAAGGCCTTCCGAATGATTACCCCCCGCCGCCGCCGAGAAGAAAAAGAGGCGCATGCGCGGGGAGGGGGGGGGAAGCGAAGCGGCGGTTGGCGGGAGGCCGTTGGCGGCGTTGGGGGGGAGAGGGCGAGGAGGGCTTTGTGCGCATGCGCGGGGAGGGGGGGGAAATGGGCGCCCAAACGCAGCGCTCTCCTTCGGAGGTGAGTCGAAAAAATAGGTCAGGGGGGGTGATGGATGGAGGGGGATGCAGGGTGGAAAAAAAGGGAGGGCTTTCTGGGAGGGGAGTCTCTTCAGCCTCCATGTGGCTTTCCTCCCATTAAGGGGAGTGGCCTAGAAAGGTGGGGGAGGAGCGCTTTTTTGAGGGGGGGTCTTGTTTATTGCTTCCTACTGACTTATTTGGGGGGATGCCAAGAAAGGTGGGGGAGGGGCTCTTTTTGGGGGGTCTCTCTTCTGCCCCTCCAGACTTTGCTCTTGTTTATTGCTTTCTACAGACTTACTGGGGGGGGGTGTTGCCAAGAAAGGTGGGAGGAGATGCCCTACTTCTGGAGGGTGGGTGTCTCTGTTTTGCACCCACCCCCCAGGCCCGACGTTTTCATTTAGGGTAGTGGTTCCCAACCTTTTTTGGCCATGCCCCACCTAAAATCCTGACACCCCCCCCCCCAATATAACTCTTACTTTACTCAAAAAATGAACTCAACTCACATGGAGGAAGGCCTAAAAGGCCATTAACTTGTTTAAACAAGTTCAAATCCCCCCTCCCCCAAAGTCAAACTGGGCCCCACTTTGGGAACCACTTATTTATTGAGTCCCAAGAAAGGTGGGAGAGCTCTCTAGGGGAATCTCTCTTCTAATCCCCCAATCTTTACTTTGGGGAGATCTCAAGAAAGGGGGAAGGGGGACTCTTCTACCCTCCAGATTTTTGACTTGGTGAGAGGGATGGCAAGAAAGTGAGGGGACCCTTTATGAGGTTTTCTTGTCCCCCCCATTTTGTCTTTAAGGGGAGATAACATTAAGGCGGGGGCGGGCTTGTAAGGATATGCTAAGAAAAGGGAAAGGGAGACTTTTCTCCCCCCCCCCGACTTTTGGGTGGGGTGCCAAGAAAAGTGTGAGTGGGGCCTTCTCTTTTCGAGGAGATGCCAAAAAAGGGGAAGGGGGATCTTCTCTAAGGGCACTCTCTCTTTTGCCCTCAGACTTGGGGTGCCTGGAAGAGGGGGCAGGGAGGGGGCGCATATTCCTATAAAAGGAAAACAGGTGATTTGATTTTCCAGCTCGGCCCTCTTCTCTGCCTCCCTTTTCCCTTCTCTGCCCAGTCTGTTTTTCACCACCTCTGACAAGCCCCTGTTTGTACAGTTTTGTGTGGAATGTAGCTGTATGTGTTTGTTTGTTTTTATAAGGGCTGGAAGGTGGGGGGGAGGGAGGAGAAACACACAAAAAAACCTTGCCAGCCCTCTGCCTGCCTGCCGCCATTTACTGCTTCCTCCTCCTCGACCCGGATGGAGAGTTGAGCCAGCCAGCCACGCGCCTTGGAGCGTCGTAGTGGGGCAGACGATCATCCGCAGTGCCGCCTCTCCACTCATGCGTTGCTCTTTCCCACAGACGCAGCATGGCCGCCCCACAAGGAGAACCCCAAGTGCAGTTTAAGGTAGGGCTGAGTGGCCTTCTTTTCACCCCGGTTTTTGTAATGATTTTGTCCTGGAGGAAACCTGCGTAGCAAGCTGGGCCTCTAGGCTTTCTTTGTTGGTTTGCAAATCCACAGGAATTCCTTTCTGGCTTATGCGGATCTCCTTTTTGGGCTGACTGTTTTTTTGGCTTTTCCCCTCCTTCACTTCAAAGAAATGCCTGTTCTCGATGGAACGTAAATTTATTTTAAATCTGTTGAGGGCTGACAATGTGTGGTTAGAAATTTGATATGGTTTCTTTAGAAGACAGATATGTAGAATATGATCAATCTGATTCCCAAATAGGCTTGTGGCCTACACTGTATGCCTGTTTTCTTATTATGTATTTGTAGATTTTAATACAGTTTAGTCCCAACTCAAAAAGATTGCTATCTAAACGGTGTAATTTTTAATGAGTCATGTTATCTCTGATTATTTATATTGAAGGAGTTTCTTTTGATACATTCCTGTTGGAGAGTGAAGGTAGTGCTTTTGGTAGATTAGCAAAGTTGGATTGAATTTGTAAATATGGAAAACATTACACATATTGTATCTACTTTTATTAATAAATATATTAATTTTATTAATATTGTCCAAATAATGGTTATTCCCTATTCTATTCCAAACTGGGGGGGGGGTGCTTTAATTGTAAAATTGTATAATTTATTTTGAGAACATAAATAATTTGATATGATTTTTATAGTCCTTTTGAGTAACTTCAAAGATATGGAAATAAAATTTTAAATAAAACAAAATTAATTATATATAAACCATTCTTTTGCTTAGCTTTTCCTTAGATTAATATGAATTTGCCAATAAAACATCAAGATGGGAAAATACATAACATAAATCAATTAGCTACCTTTTATTTCAAGAAACATTTTCCGGCTAATTTGTTGTCACAACTGGAATAGTTTGCAATGTATATGAAAGTTTGAATATATTTTATTTTTTTATTATCAATTTTGAAATAAGCCTGTTTTGGATGATATGGCTTATGTAAATAGTTTGTAGATACATCTGGTTAATTGTAGTATCTGAGTTACTAGCCTAGTCAATTTTATGCTTACAAAAATTTACATCTAACTTTCCCTAGATCTTTATCCTATTCTGTAACAATTACAGCATACTAAGTTGGTATATATTCGTTTTGTAAGATTGATACTGGTAGACAAAAATTATCATAAGACAATTTTCTTAAAAATCTTTTTTTAAAAAAATTTCAGCTTGTTTTGGTTGGTGATGGTGGTACTGGTAAAACAACATTTGTGAAACGCCACTTGACTGGTGAATTTGAGAAGAAGTATGTAGGTATGTAAACTGTTTAAGTCATCTAGACACATTAAAATGATTTTGATAGCTATCTTACCTTTCAGAGGACCAGGTCTAAACTAACGAGTGAAAAATGCTAGATATCTACACAGTTATGGTCTGTATATTTGAAAGGCCTAGGGTCTCATACAGTTTGAGCTGAAAAGACATCGGTGCCATAATTAGCCTTTTCATCTCTCCTGGTGGATGGGGGGGGGGTGAGGTGAGTGAAAAGAGAAAAAGGGGTCAAACTGCTGGGGGGGGATCTTGAAAATAAAAACAAATAACTTTTAAAGAAAAGTTGCTTCTTAACAATTTGTAGGCAAGATGCGGACAGGCCCAAAATGGATACCGGTAAATAACTTAGAAATAGTCCTTAAAAGCTTTGTGTTGGGCCTTCACATTCTGTGTACCAACTAACATTTCATTTTGTTGTAGCTACTCTTGGAGTTGAAGTTCATCCTCTGGTGTTCCACACTAACAGAGGTCCCATTAAATTTAATGTATGGGATACAGCTGGTCAAGAAAAGTTTGGAGGTCTGCGGGATGGTTACTACATTCAAGGTCAGTTCAAGAGTGACAGGGATGTCATACATTTTGTAAATAAATTGATTATCTGAACAAATATTTGTGAACAGGAAATAAAGAACTATGCTATGTCAACATTTCTGTTCCTATCAAAATGTTAGAATTGTGGTTTCATTATATTTACGTATGTTAAAAAGATGATAATAATTGAAGATTTATTACCTGCGAGCATCCTATATTTTGAAACTTAATGTGAAACTACAAAATGAATCTGCATTAAGGTTAGGATACTGTTGAAGTAACAATGCAAAAGTTTGGGAGTGCTTTTATATACAAATTGCTTTAATATGAGAACTGTAAATGATGCTACTTCTATCCCCTTGACTAATCATGCCCATGGCTTTACCTTCTAGCTCAATGTGCCATCATAATGTTTGATGTAACATCAAGGGTTACATACAAGAATGTACCCAACTGGCATAGAGATCTGGTGCGGGTTTGCGAAAACATCCCCATAGTTTTGTGTGGCAACAAAGTGGATATCAAGGACAGGAAAGTCAAAGCAAAGTCCATTGTCTTTCACAGGAAGAAGAACCTGCAGGTAAGAACAAGGCATCTCTTCTAGCTCAACAAATATTCATGTGAACTACTTTGAGTAAGGAAACATCTGCAAGAAAGCTCTGAAAGCACCAGGGGACCCCCCCCCCAAAAAAAATACTAAATGTACCTGTTTTGCAGCTTTAATTCTTTATAGTTTGGGTTTTAATCCAACAAACATATTTGTTAAGTGCTTGTGTTGCATGTGGAGGGGGGGATCCTCTTTCCTTTTTATAGATTATGCAATGTGATTGAAGCAAAATAATAACAACCATACTTGATTTATGCAGATGTTTCCTGATACAGCTAGGTAACATCAGTGCCAGCCTAGCCATTGTGTTACCTAGTGTTATCTACTTCGATAATGAAAGGTTTGCAAGAAAACTAGCTGAGAGAACATCAAAGACCCCCCACAGTTCAACCTTGAGCTAAAAAATACTCTGTTCTATCAATGTTTTCATTTAGTTGGCAATGATTCCCGAAGTGATTTTTCTCTTTGAATCGGCTCGCTCTGATCTCTCAATTGCAATAAAAGTAGGCACCTATTTTAGGATGATAGAAAGATTTAAGTCAAACGAGCGAAGTACGTCTTCTCAGAACTCAAATACATAGTAGAAGTCACTTGCAGAGGATAACAGATACCTCAATCTCTTGCAAACTCAAGTTCCCTCTCTGTAACCTTTTGCATTTAGTACTATGACATTTCAGCCAAGAGTAACTACAACTTTGAGAAGCCCTTCCTTTGGTTGGCGAGAAAGCTCATTGGAGATCCCAACCTGGAATTTGTTGCCATGCCTGCTCTTGCGCCCCCAGAAGTTGTTATGGATCCAGCATTGGCAGCACAGTACGAGCAAGATTTACAGGTAACCCTTTTTTAAAAAAAAAACCGCCTTGGCCACCTTCCTGTGGCCTAGACATTTTTTTCAGAGCTCTTTGACCCTTCCTTTTCCCCTCTTCCAGATTGCTCAGACCACTGCACTGCCAGACGAAGATGACGACCTGTGAGGGAGATGAAGCTGGAGCCCAGCGTCAGAAGTCTAGTTTTATAGGCAACTGTCCTGTGATGTCAGTGGTGCAACGTGTTTGCCACTTTATTATTCTAGCTGACCAGAACATGTGCTTTAATCTTTGGGATGCTGAAAGAGAGAATGGGGTTTGGCGTGTGAATGTGGCAGTTAAAATAAAATTCCTTCATTTTTTTGGACCTGCATATTTAGCTGTTTTGGACTGCAAATTTACTCCACATTTGAGTTACAAATCTGACTGCTGCAGTCTCATCACAGTATTCAGTGGTAAATCTTGTTTGTTACTGTCATTCCCATTCCTTTTTGTTTAGATCATAATAAAGTTGTATTTCAAATACCCAATCAAGTGGCTCTTTCAAAGGATAATTATTTGGAGCAAGATTTGGAAGGTTTTAAAAAAAACACTTCCCTTCTAAAATATTTCTGTATACAGGTAGTAACTGAAGCTCATAGTTTGGCATCTAAATTTTAAGCTAGCTATCTACAAGCCTATCTACAATTTACAAGCCTAAATCTCATTTTGGTTTGGCCTAAATAATTGTTGCAGGTAGATCTGAAGTGTACAATAGATGCCGCCTTCTGGATTTGTAGAGTTGAGACAAATCACTGAACGCTAGATGAAATTATGAAAAGGGCTGCTTCAGTCAGATTAATTTTCAAGAAACATTCTTAGGTCTAAAGAGTGGTGCAGTGGCCTAGAGGTGGAGCTCTTGCCTCACAATCAAGAATGCTGTGCGATCCTAGGTAGGGGCAGATATTTCTCTCTCTGGGCACAATGAGAATATATTTGCTGAACCAAACTCCGCATTGGCGACAGGAAGGGCATTTGGCCAGTAAACACTCAGCTCCCCTCAGTTGCCCAGACTTTACCCCGCAAGGGATTATGTGGTTATTAAAAGAAGATGATTCTTAGGTAAACATGTTTTTTCCTCTACCTTGGTGTCTACCTGCAACCACCAAGCCCTACTTGACATGCTGCTAATTTTTAATGTCTAGTTAAAGGGGGAGGGTGCATTTCTTAA